GGAGAACATCTCGCTCTTTTTTCTGTTGGAAAATGGTAGGGTTTGCATTCTCCAAAGTTGTCGCCATTTTGCCATCCAATCACGATTAGAATGATGGGAAATTCTAGCCTTAGTTCCAGCTTTCCTCTGATACTCATGCAATGCCTGCTTGATATTGCATGTGTCTCGGCGCGAAAACGAGATGTCTGCTCAGTGCAAGAGGGTCAAGAGGTAAGTAAAATAATTTTGTTCTGTTTAGCCGTAGCTTTCTCGAGTTGCTTTTTGTTTTGAGGAATGGTGAGAGGTAAATGGGAGACTTTGCGAGATGGCGATACAAGGGTTTTCGTTTCTAGCCTGAGACATTTTAAAAAAATCGAAACTGCGAGACGCACATAACCGCTAAAAAACCGTAAAAAACCGAGACAAGAGACCCGTGAAATTCGACGAAAATTTTGCGAAACCCACAGTTTTTGAAGGACGATCTCTGCGCCACCTCTATTTGTTATGTTTTGTTTATAAATACGGTGTCGATACGATGAGTAAATACTGCCAACTGTGGGTGCGAAATAGGCACTAGATATCAAGCGTCTCATTCTAAATACTTTATAACGAAGATATCTGCTTACAAACATTGTTTTTGCTGTTTAAATCATGTACAAAAAGTTGTAAAACAAAGGAACACTTTGTTTCACCAGCCAATAGTTCTCTGAGTGGTACACTAATAACAATAGGTGACGTCACTGATTTCTTTACTTTTGATCACGATAGAGTAGCTGTTTATTACGGTATGCACATATTTTTCAGAGTATAACTATAAATCGTAAAATGATGTTGTTGATCCCTGTATACATACAGTTCTTGGCCTACTTGGTCTAGGCATAGTTAATAGAGGGGAATGGTTATGAAGCCGGGCAAACATCAAAGAAGCAAACAAAGATGCCAAGATTCATGTTTGAAGGTCCGCGACCGTGCACAATCTTTTGTTTTGCATTCCATACACTATGCATAAATTATGTCACCAAAATGTTTTGATTGGTCAGTTCCTCGGTCAGTAGTAAACAATTATTGAGTTTTGTGCATGGTCAAGGCCAAAAAGAGAACAAGAACATACAACAAAGAACTTTGTCGAGTTTCATAACCATTCCCCTTTATGGACTATGGTCTAGGTTAGACTAAATTTGAATACTGATATCATATGACAGACCTTACTTTCAAATTATTGATTTCTCTTTTTCTTTTGTTTAATTTGCTTATTTTTCCACTAAGTGCCTATTCAATTTTAAACTATTATTAAAATGAGCCTGCTTGAGTAGTAAATGCAGCTTTTTAGTTCCACCAGCAGTTATCCTCTGTGAAAAATAAGTTTACATTAACGTGATATAGTTGTACACACACACACACGCACATTTATATGCAATAATCACTAAAAATATATTTATTTATCAGACACATATACTATTATCCAGATTTCCTCAGACACTGTTGATCAACAGCTGATTAATACCGCTGAAATATACAGGGTTTTAACAAAAACAGAGATCAAGCCACGTCTGTCTTTCAAATTTGGTGATAAATACCATTTTATGGCTGCTAGCATTTCGTTTGTGTTCAGTATCAGGTGAAAAGTAATCTAAAATAGCCTAGCTTAACCTGCTTAAAAAGTCAAGAACACATTTGTAAACTTCAATTTAACTTTGCGTGCACCATCTCTAACTTGGAACATTCTCTGAGGAACCAGATGGGCGCCTTTGGCAGAGTGGAGTCGGTGGCGGAGCCTGTGGAAGTTTTGGCAGAGGGCTGTCACACCTCACATAATGATCTTTATTGCCTTCTTCATTGGGCTG